GGGGCTGGGGCCTGTAGACCAGCCGGCGTAGGGTAGCGACAGGGACTGGGGCCTGTAGACCAGCCGGCGTAGGGTAGCGACAGGGACTGGGGCCTGTAGACCAGCCGGCGTAGGGTACTAAGCGAGGGGACACCTTGGGTGGGATGCTAGTCACAGGCCACGCAGACACACAGTAGGTAATTCAGAGAGTCACATTCTTTGGTTTGCAGTACGAAAATGGAATCAATGGCAGAAACCCATGCAAGATGGGGAGAGCATCCAAGCAGCACTAACACAGCATGAGGGCAGGATACAAACCCCCCAACTGAGGAGATTTGAGGCTTCACTGAGCCACCATCCCTCCTCAATCTAAGGGTTTATTAGAAATACTGGTTTGCTTGTTTATTCTAGAAGAGTACATATCAAAATCACAGGACAGTCAATCGCTGTGAAATGGCAGTTTGACTAGTTTCAGTAAAGCTTCAAAAACACAACAAATTTAACTCAGCATCACTCTCATCTGGATCGGCTACAGGTGCAGCACAGGAATGCCATTATTCACAATGTAATAGTTATTAGAAAATGCACATGACGTATGTTTCTCCTTCGGTGAAATTTAAAGGTGGTAATAATCCAACATTTTACTGTCCTCTACACATTGAAAACATCACCACAGCGGAATACCCACGTTCTTCCAATTGTCGGTTCCACTTTTCAGTTTTTTATGTGTGCATTTACTGTAACAATTTCAACAACTTTCATGTATCCAGATTTCAGGTAACGTTTGTAGTCCAGATTACTGACCGGCACGCAGGTCAGGACAAAGCAGGAGCCTAAGAATGGACGGTCCGGAGGTGGCATGCTGTGTGCGCGCCTTTGGCAGGAGAAAGCGGGCAGGTGCATTTCAGTATGCTCAGCATGTGGCAGCTCCGCACCTGCGCCTCCTCGCCCCCGCTGCAGTGCCCCCCTCACCTGCCCTACTCCACGGAAGTGCTTCATAAGTACTTATCATGGTAATTCACCAGACAGAGGCCTTTACACCTGGGACGTTCCCC